CACTGTCACACTTTATAGACAACAAGAAAAAAATAAAATTTGGACCATTTCCCGATTTATGCGTGTCGTCCTTGCGCAGGGGTCATGCTAATCTGGCGCGGCCAATCTCGGTCGCGCGATCTACGTGATCGTGCAGTCGAGATCAACCGCGCCCGCTGCAAGGCAGCTCCAAAAGGAGTTGCGCCCAGTAGAGCCTGTCGGCTTCGATCCCGGTATCTGCACAGTAAGAGTTCGACATGGTAACCTACTGGGCTGGCTCCTTTCACGGAAGCTAAGCCTGCTATCCTTCTATATGAAGGGTAGCAGCCCGGCAGGCTGCCCAGCCATGGCCATAGGCACGCCTCGTCGCCCCCTTTCACAAAGCCAGTTGTGTCGCTGTCGGCACGGCGGCCTCCTGGTCCCGCAGCACTGACGCCGCCGCCCATTCATCGGGCGGCTCAATCTAATGGTGTCGCGGCCAGCCTTTTAGGCCGCGGATACGGTACTGGCCCTTCGTGCGAAGTAAAGCCCCCGGTCCAAAAATAATAAAGAAGAATGTCCGCTACTTTCTCCGCGTCGCGGCCCTATACCTAGAGCGGCCGCCCTTTTGAGCCTACTTAGGCTCTGAATCGCGCGGCCGCTAGGCTAGGTGTAGTTTTAGCATTCCCACGACCGTGTGTTGGCGCGACTCTATTAAGAGCCGCAACCAACCGGTCACACCGGCGACTACCGCTATTATTTTCAGACGTCACAAGCGCCCGAACCTGGACTTAAACAGTTGTAGTCTTCTCGGTCATAGGGTAGGTCTGAATAAACTTTTGGCAACGTCAATCCCATCCAGTCCCGTTTTAATGAAAATGCCAGACAACGTCTGACATGGAAAAACCCGGGCAGATACCCTTGTCAGGGTTTCTGCCTCGACAACGAGAGCAAAGATGGTGGAAACGAATGTTTTGATGTCGTCCATGGATGACTGGAGAGATGTCATCATGCAGAAAAGAGTCGCGAGGTCGATAGCAAAATTGGGAGCTGGAGTTTGCTCGCCTGCGAAGTTGCGGGCGATGCTGTCGACGGAGTCGGAGCGGATGCCGAACATATCAATGCTGGATGATTGGGCCATGGTGGGGGAGGAAGTGGTGGTAGTTGCAGCTGAGGAGTTAACAACAGATGAGGTGGAGGCGGCGGCAACAGCGGCGACGGCGGCAGCTGCACGTTGAGAGTTCTGGGTTGAGCGTGGCATGCCCGGTGGGGGGGAGGGTTCCTATTTACAAGAGTAGAATGTCATTAATTGATTTAGCAATAAAGGTAATTCCAAATAAAATTCACCAAACAAGAATTAATTTTGAATAGATTAATTCGGAATTGAATTTTTCTAAGAATAATTGGTGAAATTCGAAAGGTATTTTGAAGGAATTTTACAAGAAGAAGATGTTAAAATTTCGAAAAAGGGTGATTAATTTCGAATAAAGAGATAATGCGAGGATCTGGGTCCTCGGCAGGCCTAAGGGGCCCCTGTTGCATCTGCGCCCGCCTGAGTGAAGGTGGGCCTAAAAAATCACGAGAAGCCCTCAGCTGTCAATTTCGTATTTGGGGTCGAGGCAGCTTCGTTGCGCCAGTTGGTTGAAGGAACCACAGACCGAGCAGCGAGGAAATTCCCAGGCCTTCTACGCTTTTCCGAAAGCGCAGGCCCTGGGCGAGATTCGCAGCCTCATACACAGACAGTTGGGAGGCCCAACCGATTGAGGCCCAGTAGCTGCACGAGAGGCGCAGCATCCTGGGGCCTACCGGAAGCTTCTGGGCCCAGGCCCAGACCAGCCAGGCTGCGAAGGCAGGCAGGTTCTTTCCATAGGAAAGAGCTCGCTGCCTGGAGGGGGATTCGGGCAATTGCATGCTAGCGGCAGCGCTGCTGGAGCGGACGCTTGCGGGCTGTGGCTGGCGCTGAGAGGCAAGGTGCGCGCACGTGCGGTCATGTGCAGAAAAGGGCGATGCTGAGTGCAGCGCCATAGCCCATCCTCCATAACTAGGTGGGCTTGGTCTACAGTGAGGCGCAGGGGGTGGTCTTCGGGTGTACAGAAGGTAGACGCGGGTGTATATCGAGGGAGAGAGAGAGAAGGATGATGATGATGATGATGTGAGGGCACATACCTGGTAATGGCGATGGTCTGCTACGGGAGACATCTTCAAGTACTTCATTGGCTGCTGACATCAACAGTTGCATTGTCAATTAGTAGGCTAGTAGTAGCTGTGTAGGGAGTAGGCTGGGCGCCGAGCGCCAAGTAGGGACAAGGGCCTGGATACATATGTTGGTGGTGGTGAGAGCAAGCTCTCATTGACATTGGTTTCAGTGTTACGATTCTCCATTGGTGTCATATTGGTGCAATGCTGCTTCCTGAACACTGTGATACGATCTGGCTTTCAATGTGATTGTGCAATCTGTATATTGTCATCTCGCTATTGCTCGTTTTCCTTGCAATTAACTCAGTCGTGAATTAATTGAATTTAGTCAAAATTAATTGAGGAATTCAGAATAGCCAAAAAAAGAAAAGTACTTCCGAATCATATCAAAAAAGGAATTTCAAAAAATAATTGCGAAAAGGAATTAATTGATTATGATGTGTTTCAAGAAAATTTTCAAAAACAAAAAAAAAAATAATTAAAATTATTTCCGAATTTCAAAAAAGAAGTATCAAATAGGGATTTGATTAATTCGAATGTATTTCAAAATTTTCGAAAAAGAATGAAGTGAAACGGTTTTCACCATTTTGCAGTCACAGATGCGGGTCCCAGAGTTCGATCGCAGACCTTACCTTACCCGTGTACAGTATCGAGTTGACCCTGAGTGTTTGAACCCGCGACCTGTGTTTTGGTAGTTGACTGTTGTCTTCCGTAGGTCTGTGTAGTTGTAGGGGTTCGAGCTGTAGGTCTGTCGAGTAGGGGTCATAGTTGTGTAGAGGCCGTAGCTGTAGAATTCTGAAAGGTCAAGGTCGTAGCTGCTACAGTCCTGAAAGGTCAAGGTCGTAGCTGCTACAGTCCCGAAAGGCCAAGTCCACAAACTTCCGAAAGGTCCGGAAGTGGCCTTTCGAGACTTTCTCACGTTCAGTCAGAGGCAAGTGGGCAAGTGGTGAGTCCAACTTCGCTTAGTCAGCGGTACGCAGTCCCAGTCTCACTTTGCACAGTCAGCAAGTACCATGAGGGACTGTGTGCACCATGGGCCCGTTGGAAAAGGGGCAGACCAACGACTTACAGAAGTATAAATCAAGAGGCAGCGCCCAGCCATTCATTCATTCCTGCGTGAACCATGTGGAAGCGCTGCCCAAGCGTCTTGTGCGAGGTGGTCTGCAGATGCCCGAGGTCGAAGTGGGCTAGAAGGAATCAGTGTGCTATAGTAGTAGTAGCCGGCGGCCATAGCCGCCATAGCTAGTGTTAGTGTGTGTGAACGAGTGTGTGATACAGTGACTGCGTGTGGAGTATTCAGGATGATCTGGAGTTGAGTGCGTGCGAACAATGGTGTTGGACACAGTGACGAGAGTTGGGAAGTACACGCGCTGATGCGCCATAGCCTGTTGAGGCGAGCTTGCATCTGAACTGTTTTCTCGGTTTCCATATCCCTGAGCTTTGAGTGGGCGCTTGACGCCAGTGTGAATTGCCCTCTGTTTGCATGTATGCGAAGTGAAGAAGAAAGCGAGTCTGATTGGATTGGTATCGGAGCTGGTTTCCGTTACTCCACGCGCCATTGCCGTTGTTGATAGTCGGGCGCCATAGCTGAAGCTGCACCATCAAAGGAGGAGGTCCGCCATAGCTGCGCCACTGAAGAAAGGTGCCGCGTACCTGCAAAGAAGACAACGACGAAGAGAGAGAAAGAGAGAGAGAGAGAGAGAGAGAGAGAGAGAGAGAGAGAGAGAGAGAGAGAGAGAGAGAGAGAGGAGCGATAGAAGATTGTTGTGTGGTCCAGGGAAGCAGGCAGCCATAGCCGCAGAGCTCGGATACGGAGGTAAAAGAAGGAAGACGAGTAGAGGAGTAGGGAGAGACAAAGTACGAGAGGGAAGCCATAGCCGAGGAAGGAGAAGGGAGAGACGAAGAAAAGAAAAGAAAGACATAGCCTGGGTGAAGGAGAAAGAAAGTGAGAAAGAACGAAGGAGGTAGAAAGAGAAACAAGGGTTGGTGAGAGAGAAAGGGTCGGCAGCCATAGCCAAGTGGAACGTTGACCGGAGGATTGACCGGGGTTGACCGACGTGTTGACCAAGGCGTTGACCGGGGAGCTGACCGAAGTTGATCGAGCGTTGACTGAGGGGTTGACCAACGTTGACCACGACATCAACCAAGTGTCAACCAAGGCGTTGACCGGAGCTGTTGACCGTGAAATTGACCAAGCTGGAGTTGGTATATTCTCACCAGGCCTTCAGCCTATTCCCTCGCCCTATGGATGTGCACTCACCCCATGGTACTTGTTGAGTCTGTCCATCTCTTCTTTCTGCATTGAGTCTCTTCTGTCCAGGTGATAGGAACTCTGTGTATGAGGTCGTAGAGCTGCGTTGACCAAACCCACACGGGCTGAGTAGGGCTTAATTCCATGTCTGACGACTGACATGTCCCGAAGGAAAAACCCTCCCAAGGACCGGTGCAGACCGGCGGGCTGAACAGTGTGGCATGGGTGGCCCAAAATCTGAGTTGTGGGCTGCACAACCAGTTGTCTAAGTGTTGAGAGGACTTGCTGATCGCGTCGTCCTGTTTGCGACGTTAAACAATTCCTGAGGAGTTATGGGGGATCTCCTTAAATGCCTCCTAATCAGCGTTGAGGTCCTGTAGTGACAGCTTAGAAGTAGGTCTAGGCTAGTGACCATAGTTGACAGGGTTCTGAACCGGAGAGAAAGCCAGGTGGGATTGACCGCAAGTGCTGGGCGTCTGGGTCTGGTTTGTGAAGGACAATGGTGACGAAAGCTTCCGTCGCTCGTGGTAACCTGGCTGGATCAAAGGGTAAGGCTCTGTGGTCCTTAGACATTCAGTCAGTCGAGTGGGTAGGTCTAAGTGGTGAGGAGTAGGACAGCTTTGTCGTGCACCTAACACCATGGATGACTACCCGATGTACGGTGTGCTCGTGGGGTTCTCCCTCTGGGGGACCCTCTGGCGTCTCCTCTTTCCATTGGGGTTTTGGAACACCTTTACGTGCAGAGTAGAGACCAGGGGCGGTGTTAGTACCACTCCCTACACCCCGGAGCAGGAGGAGGAGGCTGCGAGAACCTTGGCTGAGCAGAAGGCCAGAACAAAGAAGGAGGTAGTGAAGCAGGCCAAGAAGTTGTCCTTGTTGCAGGAGCAAGCCGTAAAGAAAAAGAAGTTGGAAGAAGAGCTGAAAAGGTTGAAGGAGGAGGAAGAAAAGTTGAAAGCAGAGGAGGAAAAAGAAGAAGAAGAAGAGAAAAAGGTGGAAAAAGAATTGCCCCTGATTAGAAGAAGTATCAGGGAAAGAGGAGAGACAAGTGGCACAAAGAAAGAGGATTCCTCGCTGGAGAAGAAGGTTTTTGAATGGGTTGCTAATGTGTCTTTGGGAGAAGAGGAGAAGCCGATGTTGTATGTTCCCAGGGAAGAACAGGAGGCGGTTGTTAAGGAATTGGAAGCCGAGGAAGATCCTCTCAAACAACAGACGATAGAGGAGGAGAAAAAGTTGTTATGGAAGCTGCGTCTGACCAGGGAGAGGAAGAAGAGGATGGAAGCGGCAAGTAAGGCGGCGAAAGAACTGGAGGAGGTGAAGCAGCAAAGGGTGCAGATGGAGGCACAGGCAGATTTGCAAGGAAAGATGGAGGCGATGGCGAGAAACATAGAACGCCTGGCGCAGGCTCAGGAGGAGCAGTACCAATTTGGAAGGAGTCAGGATATGGTCGTGCGATCGATACAATTGGGGTTTCGAGAGTTCGCACGCGAAATGTTAATGCACGTGGGCTCAGAAGTACAGACGAGATTAGAGGGCACAATGCGATTCTGCACAGGTGCCATAGAAGGCGCAAAGTTGGCTGCACCAAGAGAGGAAGAAGCTCGTCCCCGTAGGGAGCCTGTTAAAGTGAAGTTCCCTGATTCCTACAGTGGGAGGAAGGAGGAGAACTTCGATAACTGGGAGGCAAATGTGAGCTCCTACGTGCATCTTCAAAGGATATCGCCTGACGAACATGTTCTCATAGCCTTCCATGCGCTCAGGGACGAAGCAGCGAGCTTCGCCCGGTCGCTTTGTCACGCCGCTAAGTGCGATAACAATATGGTTGCCTATTCTGCAATCACCCCTCTCAGTGAGTTTTTCAAGTTGTTGCGTGAAAGGTTTGCAAATGTCACACGAAGCGTTAGAGCTTCTGACAAACTGCAAACCATTCATTCCCACCATTGGAGGAGTGTTAGAGCACTCAAGGGCGTTATGGATAAGTTGGTCGCCGTCCCTGACCATGGGGTAACTGAGACCCAGTTGGTCAACTTGTTTTACCGTGCCATGCCCCAGTGTTGCGCGGGCACTTCTTTGAGAAGAATACAGAGTCTACCATGACCTACGATACCCTGAGTAGGGAAGTGGTAGCGTATGAGGTGCAGTCCATGTCAGTTTCCACTTTCTGGCACAAGGACTTGGACAAGGGCAAGAAGTGGAAAGGTCATACCATCTCAGGTCAGGTTAAGAGCAAGGATCACTTGATCCTTACCTTAGATGAGGGTGGTATGGAGGAGGTCCCATATGATAAGATAGAGTGGGGTCTCGAAGAGGATGATGGTAGTCTGGGTCAGGCAAGGACTTACGCTACTGTCGCGGCTGGAGGGAGGCCGCAAGGAAGAGGAAGAGGCCAGGGCCAAGAGGGTCGGGCCTCTGGTGGTCGTGGACAGGGCGATCAGGGGGTTGGCGGCAGAGGAGACCGCCAAGCAGGAGGTAGGGGTCAAGGTCCCTCGCAAAACCGCTCTCGTTATACACGGTCACCTCCCGGGAGGGGTGGATGGCACCCTGACTTGCCGCAGGGCAGGCGAGAAGATTTGGACTTAGAACAGATAGTGTGGCAGCGTCGCATAGACCAGGATCAGTGCATTTACTACGGTGATCCCGGGCATATTATAAAATATTGCCCCAAGAATAGAGAAGCCAGATTTGTTGCACAGGCAGCAAAAGGCAACCGTCGGTAGGGGTTGCAACTGCCCCTATCCCTAGACCATGTGGGGAAGAGTGTGCGCACCACATAGAAACTCCCAAACCACATGTGTCTATGGCAGAGGTTGCTGACCAGTGCCTAGATAGTTGTCCAGAGACTACTTGTGTTAAAAACTCTCTAGGCACTTCCCTCACAAGCGTGGTAGAAGAGTTGAAGGAGAGGATGCCTGCCTGGGCCAAGATGAAGAAGGAGGCAAAAGGACAGCTAGTCTTAGTAGATGCAGAGGTCTTTAGAGGAAGAGTATAGACAGTGGGGCCACTCGCAACTATATTAGTAGAAAAGCGTTGCAGAAGCTGAAAGTTAAATTTGAAGGTCCAAAAGTTAGAAGACCCCGTAGTCAGTATCCTCGCAGACAATCGCACTATGCGAGTCGAGGATTACGTTGAGGGAGTTCAGGCGTACTTTCGCCTAGAGAAGGATGGGAAGGTGTATACAGTTTTCCATTCCCTGACTCTCCTCGTAGAGGACAGCCTTCCTTTCGACATGGTCCTAGGAATGGACTGGGGAGAGGCAGTAGGGGCCACACTCCACTTGAGAGAGCACGAGTGTAGGCTCCCTAGTCCATCAGGCGAAGTAAAGAATGTGCGCCAGTTCCATGTGTCAAGAGTAAACAACTCCCTGGCACATTGTTGTCTCAGTGCTCCCGCGTTTGCACGTTTTGTAAAGGAGCAATTAGAAAAACAGGTTTTTGTAGCCTATGCCAGGCCTGTCACTGAGCCTAAAGAAGAGAAACCCATAGATCCTGTTATTGCCAAGCTACTGGAGAAGTACACAGACTTCGCTAAGTCGCCTACAGGAGTAGTGTCGCAGCCGATCCAGCATCGCATAGAGATAGAGCCTGGCAGTAGTACTCCTAAGGGAGCCATATACAAAATGTCCCCAAGGGAGTTAGAGGAGCTGCGCAAGCAGTTGGATGAGCTCCTCGAGAAGGGTTGGATTAGGCCCAGTTCGTCTCCATTTGGACCACCTGTTCTTTTTGTCCCCAAAAAGGAGGGAGAGTTTAGAATGTGCATAGACTATAAAGGTCTCAACGCCGTCACAGTAAAGAATGCAGAACCACTGCCCCGTATAGATGATCTCTTAGATCGAGTGCAGGGCTGCACGTATTTTTCTAAGATGGACCTGAAATCTGGTTATCATCAGATAGAAGTCCATCCCGATGACCAGTATAAGATAGCTTTCCAAACGAGATACGGGAACTACGAGTTTAGAGTCATGCCCTTTGGACTAACCAATGCGCCAACGACATTCCAGCGTTGTATGTATGATTTGTTTAGGCCTTGGTTAGATAGATTCGTTGTAGTGTACTTAGATGATATTCTAGTTTTTAGCAAGACCCTCCGGGAGAATGAGGGTCATCTGAGGCAAGTCTTGGAAAAGTTGACGGAAGTTGATTTCAAGATTAACGCAAAGAAGTGTGAGTGGGCCAAGACAAAAGTCCTATACTTGGGCCACGTCTTAGATGGAGATGGCATTCAACCTGAGGACAACAAAATAGCGACGATCATAGATTGGCCAACACCCCGCACATTGACAAAGTTGCGGTCGTTCCTAGGCTTAGCCAACTATTATAGGAAATTTGTGAGGAACTTCTCCAATATCGTCGCTCCCCTTTGCAGGTTGCTAGACTGTACATCGGTCCTGAAGAAGCTAAAGCGGGCCTTGATAAAGTATCCAGTCCTCAAGGTAGCTGATCCATCCTTACCTTTTGTTGTCACCACTGACGCAAGTCGGTACGTTATAGGTGTTGTTTTACAGCAAGATGATGGCAATGGGTATAGGCCCGTAGAGTTCATGTCCGCTAGGATGCCTTCAAAGAAGGTAGCGACATCTACCTATGAGAGGGAACTCTACCCTCTCAGGCAAGCACTAGAGCACTGGAAGCACTACTTGCTTGGGAGGCACTTCAAAGTCTATTCAGACCACGTGACACTGAGGTGGCTGAAGATGCAGGCCAAGATGACACCTAAGCTTACTGGGTGGGCCGTAGAGATAGATCAATATAACCAGTAAAAGGGAAATATAATGTAGCCGCATATGCTCTAAGTAGAAGAGTTGATTTCTTTTGAGCAATAGTTCACTATCTAGATATAGGGAGAGACCTGCAACAGAAAGTAAAAGAGGCATATACGCAGGACCCTATTTACAGTGATCTCCTCAAGAGAGTTAAAAAGTCTTCAGAGTCTGAGCCAGATTACCACACTACAGATGGGTTACTATTTAAGAAGACCAATGTAGCTGACCGATTGTGCGTTCCCGACTGTGAAGAGATCCGTAGTTTGATCCTAGGGGAATGTCACGTCACAAAGGGACATTTCTGTTGGTAAAAGACATTAGCCAACCTCATGCGCGGATATACATGGCCACGTATGAAAGCCGACTGCATAGAGTATGTACGCAGTTGGTCCGCCAACGGAATAAGACCACTACTCGGGCCCCTCTCGGCCTTCTCAGACCCTTACCGATTCCCACAGGACCCGGAGATTCTATGTTCATAGACTTTATGGATGTTGGGGTCAAGAGTAGGCATGGCAAGAGCCAAGTTATGGTTATAGTTAATAGATTTAGTAAATATGCAGTTTTTGTTCCTTTACCCGCAGAGGCATAAACAGATTTAGCTATAGACAAGTTCTTCGATCATTGGGTCAGTGAACACGGTCTCCCGCTGTCAATAGTTAGTGACAGAGATACCAGGCTCACTAGTCAGAACTGCCAGAAGTTGATGAGAGCCTATGGCTCTAGGTTGTTAATGTCATCTGGTCGTCACCCTGAGACTAAGGGTCGACTGAACAGATGAACAAAATCCTGCAGCAAGTTCTCAGAATGTATATTAGACTTGATCAGCTTAACTGGGATGAGATACTTCCCAAGGCCGCCATCGCATACAATAACAGCGTGTACTTAGAGACGTGTCGCGCTCCCAACGAGTTACATAAGTCCTTTGGACCACGTAGACCGTTTGAGGGACTGAACCGGGATCAGATTCAAAAGCTACCGCCCGGTACTAGGGAGTTTGCACTACACTACGAGAAGGAGATTGCTACCGTAATAGAGAACCTCAGGAAGGCCCAGCATAGAATGCTAGAGCAAGCCAATAAGCACCGTCGCCCATCACAGTTTCAAGCAGGCAACTTAGTCTGGGTCAAGTCCAAAGAGTTTGTTCCTGAGGAGAACATCTCGCAAAAGTTACTACCTGCATACCGAGGACCGTGGCCAGCCTTAGAAGTCAAGGGCGGAGAGGATTGACCGTCCTACACAGTCGAGATTCCAGCGCACCTCCACACCTACCAGTGTTTGATTCGTCAAAGTTGCTGCCTTGTATTACAAGTCAACAGTTTCCATCACGAAGGTCCATGATCCTCCGGACATGGATGGAAGGTACGACATTGACGACATTGTAGATGAAGATGTCTTCAAAACAGGAGGTAGGGGTCGTCCACAAAAACAATATAAGGTCAGGTTCGCTTTTTAGGAACCAGAGGACGACCGCTGGTTTACACGAACAGAACTTCTAGAGACAGCTCCCGAAGTAGTCCGAGCATACGAAAGAGATAAGAAAGCAAAAGGTCCTACCTTAGACTGAAGTATTCTCGGAGGACCTCGAATTTAGGTAGTTGACTGTTGTCTTTCGTAGGTCTGTGTAGTTGTAGGGGTTCGAGTTGTAGGTCTGTCGAGTAGGGGTCATAGTTGTGTAGAGGCCGTAGCTGTAGAATTTATGAAAGGTCAAAGGTCGTACCTGCTACAGTCCTGAAAGGTCAAGGTCGTAGCTGCTACAGTCCCGAAAGGCCAAGTCCACAAACTTCCGGAAGGTCCAAGAGTGGCCTTTCGAGAGTTTCTCACGTTCAGTCAGAGGCAAGTGGGCAAGTGGTGAGTCCAACTTCGCTTAGTCAGCGGTACCCAGCCCCAGTCTCACTTCGCACAGTCAGCAAGTACCATGAGGGACTGTGTGCACCATGGGCCCGTTGGAAAAGGGGCAGATCAACGACTTACAGAAGTATAAATCAAGAGGCAGCGCCCAGCCATTCATTCATTCCTGCCTGAGCCATGCGGAAGTGCTGCCCGAGCGTCTTGTGCGAGGTGGTCTGCAGATCCCCGAGGTCGAAGTGGGCTAGAAGGAGTCAGTGTGCTGTAGTAGTAGTAGCCAGCGGCCATAGCCGCCATAGCTAGTGTTAGTGTGTGTGAACGAGTGTGTGATACAATGACTGCATGAGGGGTATTTAGGATGATCCAGAGTTGAGTGTGTGCGAACAATGATGTTGGACACAGTGACGAGAGTTGGGAGGTACAGGCACTGATGCGCCATAGCCTGTTGAAGCGAGTTTGCATCTGAATTGTGTTCTCGGTTTCCATATCCCTGAGCTTTGAGTGGGCGCTTGGCGCCGGTGTGAATTGCCAGCTGTTTGCATGTATGCGAAGTGAAGAAGAAAGCGAGTCTGATTGCAGAAGTAAAAGTAGTTGCAAATTTTGAAAAAGAAATGTTGAGAAAGAATTGATTAATCCAAACGAAAAAAAAATAATTAATTCTAAAATATTTTCGAATTACAAAAATTCTGAAAAACAATTAATTAAAATTATTTTCGTAATTTAAAAAAAAAAACGAAAAATAATTAATTAGAAATGTTTTCCAAAAGAGAAATGTCAAAAAAGAGTTTAATTACTTCTAAAATATTTTCAAATTACAAAAAAATTGAAAAAGAATTAATTCAAATTGTTTTCGGATTTCGAAGAAGAAATTCTGAGAAAGTATGATTTATCCTACATATTTTCGAAAATTTCAAAAAGAAAATACTTTTGAGAAAGAAATGTCGAGAAAGATAGTTAATTGACTATTTTCGAATTTACAAAAAATTCAAAATGGATTCTAGAAAAAAACTAGTAATAATAATAATAAAATGCGTTTTGATGTAAATCGAGGGCGGACCGATCCTAGCTACGATTGATTGGGTGGTAGCATGGTAGGTAGGGCACGGGTAGATTGATGATGATGATGATAA